TTTTGGTGTCCACAAAGTTTGTAAAAGTATTTTTGATACACACACACTATATATATATATATATATATATATATATATATATATATATAAACCTATATATATATTTCGATTTCTTTTTGAAATTTGTAGGTCTGATGAATTGGATCGTGATTTCGATTCCAATGTAATAAATTATAACCATGGAATATTAGTGTTTGAGCCATTTTTATTATATTATATTCTTACTCTGTCCTCGACATTGAGTTCTAACTGGATTCTATACTCTTTTTAATATATTATATATATATATATATATATATATATATATATATATATAATTAGAAGACTGATTCAATATTTAGTCATGGTAATATTCGTTCCCTATAAGGAAAGATTTAGCATTTTTTAGTCGAGCAGCCAGTAACGCTTTCGGTTGAAATTTATAAATTATTTCTCTAAGAACACATTTTGAGGAAAACATTTCTTATGTTTAACAGTTTTTATCTTTTTTTAAAGATTTTAACTTTTTGGAATATTAATAAACATCAGTAGACATTGACTCATCTCTCGTAGAGAACAAGCCTTAACCCCTGAATCTTTTTGAATTTCTTTTCGTTTCTTTTTCTTTATATTTATTTTGGACAGCATGTTTCGGCATTTCAGTATCTGTCTATATTTCTGAGATGTGGTATTATGTACACTATTTACATTATTCGGACTTTGTCCTCATCTTTGATATTTATTACAACGTTTCCCTTTCATATCTTTATTTTCTGAGATGAGGTTATTATGTACACTATTTACATTATTCGGACTATTGTCCTTCTTTGGCCATATTTATTACAACGTTTCGGCCTTTCAGTATCTGTCTATATTTCTGAGATGAGGTATTATGTACACTATTTACATTATTCGGACTATTGTCCTCATCTTTGTTGCCATATTTATTACAACGTTTCAGTATCTGTCTATATTTCTGTCTATTTATTATTCGGACTATTGTCCTCATCTTTGTCGCCATATTTATTACAACTTTCGGCCTTTAGTATCTGTTATTTCTGAGATGATTTATGTCCTCATTTTTATTCGGACTATTGTCCTCATCTTTGTTGCCATATTTATTATAATGTTTCGGCCCTTCAGTATCTGTTTATATTTCTGAGATGAGGTATTATGTACACTATTTACATTATTCGGACTATTGTCCTCATCTTTGTCACCATATTTATTACAACGTTTCGCCCCTTTAGCATCTGTCTATATTTCTGAGATGAGGTATTATGTACACTATTTACATTATTCGGAATGTCGGTTTGCGGAGAACATGGAAAGGGGAATTAACAGGAGATAACTGATAACTGACATCCATTAGACATGGCACGTCGAACTAGAACAGTCTACCCCAGCGAGCAAAATAAAGGGTTCAGTTCAACATTCCAACCACCTGCAGAAGGCCTGAGTGTACTTTGGCCAAAACGTTGCGATAAATATGGCAACACAGATGAGGACAATAGTCAAAATAATGTAAATAAAGTATCTGTTAATATTTCTGGGATGAGATATTGTAAATATTTTCACAATTTACATTGTTCAGACTGTTGTCCTCGTTTTTGTTGTCATATTCATAACGTTTCGGTTGTTGTACGCTCCGGCCTTCTTCAGGTGATTGGAATTTCGAACTGAACCCATTATTTCGTCCACCGAAGACCCAGTGGATAAAAGCGTTAGATGAATTAATCCAGTGACTTGACTCAAAAGAAATGTGAGTTCTGTATCTGGCCACAGCAGAGGCGAACAAAAAACTTGGGGAATTGAGTTACTAAAGGGGAATAACTGAAACTCAGATATCTGGAAGAGGCATGACACGTGGAACTAGAACAATTTACCCTGATAAACAAAATAATGGGTTTGGTTCGAAATTCCAATCACTTGAAGAAGGCCGGGGCGTACAACGGATGAAACGTCGTGAATATGACAACAAACATGAGGTTAGTTTAAACATTTATATGTCTACCATTCCTCCATGCATTGAATATTGCTATCAGTTCTGGTCTAATGATTCATTTTTCCTTTTTTTTTAATCGATTTCACTCCAAGCAAGGCAGTAAAGCCCCTAAGACACAAGGTCACTGGGTGTGAAATAACTAGAAAATAGAAAATTTACAAAGGAGCAAGAAGTAAAGAAATGTAATCAGAACAGTGGAAGGTTATTGATATTGCTTTTAAATTTTTGAAGATTAAAGTTGGCTGGAAGACATGGAGCCGCGAAGGAGCTTCACAAGCGAGAGGTGCGAGAAAAGAAACTCTTAGCATAGAACTTACGGTTACATCTAGCCAGCTCAACTGTAAAATGATGAGACCTTGCCGCTAATCTAGTACTGCGTTTAAATTCAAAAATATCTAGATACCATAGTGAAGAGGTCATCCGAATAAATATCATGAAAGTATTTATAAAAAAGACACAGAGAGGCAACCTTACGTCAGTGGGAAAGTAACTGAAGCCGAGCAGCCAAATCAGGACCAATAATATTGCTGATTCTTTTTTGGATTATATGAAGAATATCTAAATATATAGCAGGAGTACCAAATCATATGTAGCAACAATATTCTAATCATGGACGAATAGTAGACTTATAGATATGTAAGATAGATTCCGGAGAGAAAAATTGTCTTGCCATACCCAGTGACCTAATTTCTAAGCAGCTGACCTAGCAAAGGATTCCGTATTGTCTTTTCACTTCATGTCAGCCGAGTACGTTAACCCAAGAAAGCACGATGAGTCATTTTCTTGGAGGATAGCATCAGCCATGCTGATGAAAGGCAGAGAGGGATCTCTCGGATGATTAACAGAGAGTAGTTTCGTTTTGGAGGCTTTGAAATTAACAAGCCATCCTTTACCCCAGTTAACAACAGACTTTGATATTAGCCGCCAATTTGACCTTATTGGACCGACCAGCTTTACTATCGAAACAGGGGTAAATGATTGTGCCATCAGCATAGATACCAAGTTGATGCCATCCGGAAATTCGTTAATAAAAAATTAAAAAACTAGACGAAAGAAAGAAACATGGGGGTCACCTGCATTAGTGTAAAAGGATCTGGAAGAGTGGCCGTTCTGCTATGTATCTAGAGATTCTTGAAAAAATACAAAGAATCTGCAATGTTATTGGTTCTGACCTGGCATCTCAGCTTCAGCCATTTTACCACCGCCGTAACGTAGCTTCAACTGCTACGTACATTTTAGGAATTTAAGCGCAGTACTAGATTGACGGCAAGGTCTCATCATTTTACATTTGAAATGGTTAGATGCAACCGTAAGTTCTATGCTAACAGTTTCATCTCTCGCATTTCTCGTTGATGGAACTCCTTTCCAGCCTTTTGCTTTCCTGTTTATTTTGAAGGTTACTGAATAGAATAATCAAACACAGCTTGGTAATCAACGATAATACTTAGGACAAGAACAACTCATATAAGATTCACCAGCAGCGTGTAGAAGAAGTAGTCAACTGCTAGAAGTGAGTCAAATGAATTCCATAATGAATCTCCAACTGCAGACCAACATACAGTATTTACTACTGTAAATATGTGAATGGGGACATACCCATTATCGTCCGTAGGTATACTACAACTGGTGCTTACCTTTTCTGATATTCTTTCACATTCAGTATTCCACTTGAGTCTTAGTGGCTTTATTGCCTTGCTTGGGGTGAAAGGATTAAAAATAATAATAATTTTATTCTCTGCATGATCGTTTTGTTTCGGAATTAAAAAAAAAAATTAGCGGCAGAATGTTTATTTGATATGAAACGCATATTTCATCAGCTGAAAAACTTCTCACCGGCATGATTATTCTAGACCGCACATGTATTATGTCCAAAAGTGTTAACACTGAAGTAAAAGACATGATTAGCCTGGCGCCAACTGGCGCCAACTGGCGTCAGACGACAGCTGTTCCGTAACATCCTTTCGAAAAACTGGCCTTTTTTTTTTTACATTATATTCCTTTTTTTACATTTTTTTTTAAATTTTTTTTTTACAAATTCTCTTTTTGTTGTTTCTTCAAGTGATTTCGGCCGGCCAGCTCTCCTTTCGAAAGAGAAGTATTTTTCTTGTTGTCCGTAAATGAAAGGACGAATGAACGAATGGTAAAAAAAAAGAAAAAAAAAAAAAGATGAAGAAAGACGATGATAAAAAATACAAGAAAAGAAAAAAGGAGAAGGAAAATTGTTTGTTTGATAAGAAGGATTTCCATAGGTTTTAAGAAGTGGGGTCGGGGTTTTCCCCCAAATAAATTGGACTTAAATGTCAAACGGATGGGGTCTGTTTTTGTTGAAGAGAATTGTGACCGGCTGTGTTTTCGGAGACGCGTCTTTGATGTGGACGTTTCACATGACAAACACGCTCTCCTACTCACACGCACGTACAAAATCACACTCACATACACACACACACATACAAAGCGAAAGAAAATGAGAGAGATAAAAGCATTAGGTAGCTAGATATGAACAGACTGAGATAGATAGATAGATAGATAGATAGATAGATAGATAGATAGATATGAACAGACTGAGATAGATATGAACAGACTGAGATAGAAAGATAGATATGATCAGATGAGATAGATAGATAGATAGATAGATGAACAGACTGAACAGATAGATAGATAGATAGATAGATAGATAGATAGATAGATAGATATGAACAGATAGATAGATAGATAGATAGAATGAACAGACTTAGATAGATAGATAGATAGATAGATAGATAGATAGATAGATAGATATGGGGGAGAGAGAGAGAGAGAGATCTGTGTGTTTGATCGTCTTTGAACGTCTATCCATTTACGTAGACAATTAGCTATAGCCTCACCGTGGTCGATTTCTCGAGGAGGCCACTTATTAAACATATCCTGCCTGGAGAGACCATCTCCGCGTGAGACGAAGCTTTGGGAAGTGCGAAAAAAAAACCATGCGGTGGTTTTACAAAATTAAACAAATAAACATGTCGGGGAAAATTGGGTAATGGGTAGTGGATTTATTTTTAGACGGGTAATTTTATTCATTTAAAGAAATAAATAAATATTTTATTTTTGGTCCAGCTCCCTTTAGAAGTTGCTTTGTTTACGAGAACATATGAACTTTCCAGAAAATTCCAGCCAGTAGATGTGCATTCCTTAAAACGTTAAAAAGAGCTTTGTTTGCCTGTTATGCTCTCCGTGGCCGAATGGTCAAGAGCACACCAGTTTCTCCTTTAAAGTGGAACCCATGTCCAAACCCTCTCGGAGTGCACATTTTCTTTATATATATATATATATATATATATATATATATATATATATATATATATATATATTCTAATTCAGACCTAAAATTGATTACTTCAATTCAGAAACACTGCGGAAATTCAAAACCCCACGTCACCTCTCACTTTAATTCTGATTCCTTGGTATTTTAAAGAAATAAAATTGATTTCCTTAATTCACAAAATTTTGAAAATATTTTAAACTGAATTTAAAACAAACATTTTTAAATTCACAAAGTTTTAGTGTTACTTTAAACTCAGTATAAATTAAAATCTTTTAAAATTACTAATTTTTTTTTTTTTTTCAGTTATTTTTCAGAATTTTTAACTCAATCAGATACAAATCCCAATGTTTGATGTTCAAATGCAACATGAAGGACAGATTTTTAATCTTGTTATCCTGTTTCCCAAAAGGTATAATATGTCTATGTAGAGCAAGTGTAGCCTGAGTTAGAGGGGGGGGGGGTCAGGCACACGGAGAGACAGACAGAATATGCCGTTTATTTATTTAGATATAAACCTCATTTTAAATCCAATTCTGGTCCGAAGACCGATTTGGGCCAAAACTCCAATTTGGCCCGAAATTCCAATTCAGGCTGAAAATTATGTTCTTAAAACCACAAACTCCGTGGAACGTCAATTGAGATAAGTTTTTTTCAATTCACAAACTCTGCGGAACTTCAAAACATCACGTCACGAAACTTCTCACTTTGATTTCTTGGCATTTTGAAGAAATAAAACTGATTTCCTCAATTCACAAACTTTTGGAGATCATTTAAACTGAATTTAAAACAAAAAAATAAATTCACAAAGTTATTGTGTTACTTTAAACTCAATATAAATTAAAAACTTTTAAAATTACTAATTTTTTATATATAGGCCTCCGGGTTGAGTGTGACGCCCTGTGGCAAGATGAATGGAGGCACAACGTCGCCATCCTTAGTCATCACTCCAAACACCATGATGTTAACTGGATATATGAAACAACTCTTTCCGAATGTTCTGTACCGTCCTCTCATTGACACCCAAAGACACTGAATTGTTCGTATTGGAACTTACGGTGCGAAATGCAAGCAGTACAGCATCCCATTTCCAAATTTACTCTGTCGGAGTAAATTGCGTCATGTTGGTCTTTTTCTCATAAAAAATGCCGAACTAACCTTACTATACTGAGCAGTCGATAAAATCGAAAGCAAACAACACGCATGCGTGAAATTAAAAATATAAAATGGCGGCACCATGTTTATATATATATATATGGGTGGGGGCAATTGTATAACAAAAAGGTAAAAATGGGAAAAACGCGTTTTTTCCTTCAAAATGATTTCATCATACTAAAATGTTCCTAAATATATATATACATATATATATATATATATATATATATATATATATATATATATATATATATATATAGATAAGTTTGCCTATGGCCCGCACTATATTATTTCTCCTCTATTGAAAATATGTAGGTAGTTATCCCTTGTTTCTAATTTAAAATGGGGTTTCCGAATTCCTTCATCTGGGGGCTTTAATAAGAGTGGGTGTCATGCATTTTTAGTGGCACAACGGGATGATGGGTGCAACTCTTCATACTGATTGCACCGAATTGGCAATTTTATGGTGGCTGCATCCCGACTGGTAGTTAGGAATCCTTGGATCGCGTCTAGAGAGGCTGCTCTGACCAATAGTCGCATAATATAGGGGTTCTTTCAATGCTATATCGCGCATCGAAATGTGTTCCTGCAAACATTTCTTTGGACAACCCTGTAGCCACACGTCTGCGACAATTCCTAACCAGCACATATTAACTTTTAAAAAACCTACATTACTAAAACATTAAACGAAATGCAAGCAAACCAGCTCGCCAAAAACACCTAAACCTTTCCTTCTCCAACATTCGTTTTGTTCGTACCGATTTCTGTAGTGTGGAATCGTTTCTCTTGGAACTATCTTCATTTGAAACTTATCTGAATTCTTCAATCTCTTCCACTGAATTCTCTGTTCCCACATGTCTTACGCTATTTCGGAAAGACGCTAATATCCACATGCATTACTTGGTGTATGTGTTCTATAACATCTCCGACTGCTAATTCTCACCTGATTCTCCAAACTTTTCTTACATGTGCCTCTGACTCTTTCTATTAAATTCAGTCAGTTATTTCTTCTTCCTTTCGTTCCCTTTCCTCTCGTGATTTTTGCGTGTTCGATTGAATCTCTGATAATATAGATAAGCTCCTCTCTCTACACAAATCTGCAAATATCTTTGTGTTCAGCGATTTCAGTACCCAGAACGATGGCTTACTCATTTTAATGCCATTGAGCTCGCTGGCATCCAGACTTTAACCTTCTTTATTACGCAATCTCTTACACAGATAGTAGAATTATCCACAAGCTCCCCCAGTAATTCGGACGGACACAATACTCTACAAGAGGAGTTCCTCATCTTCACCCTGAACTTCTGTAGCTGCAGCTTGACAATTCTGATCATATAGCGGTGCCTACAGATATCGCTTTCGGCCAGACACGAACCTCCTATTAATAAAATTAACGCGCTGATTGGGACTCGCTTTGTGACTTACTTCGTGATGTCCCTTACAAGGATATTGTTAGTCGTCTTTTTCAGAAAAGTGCCACTGGTATCTCTACCGGGATGAAAATTAAATTAAATAAATATTGTTTATATTTGAACTCCTAAAGAACCAACCATATCATAATCATTTATCTACCTCAAACGATTACTTTTTGTCTGTAGTAGAGCATATCTGTCTATCTATCCAGCTAGCTATCTCAGTCTTTTCTTATCTATCTATCTCTATCTATTCATATCCATCTCAGTATATACATATCTGTCTATCTATCTGTCTATCTACCTATCTCAGTGTATTCATATCTATCTATCTATCTATTTCATTCTTTTCATATCTATCTATTTATCTATCTATCTGTATGTCTTATCTATCTATCTATCTATCTATCTATCTATCTATCTCAATCTATTCATATCCATCTCAATATATTCATATCTGTCTATCTGTCTATCTCAGTGTATTCATATCTATCTATCTATCTATTCCCTTCTTTTTATATCTATCTATCTATCTATCTATCTATCTCAATCTATTCATAACCATCTCAGTATATTCATATCTGCCTATCTGTTTATCTGTCTATCTCAGTGTATTCATATCTATCTATCTATCTATTCCCTTCTTTTTATATCTATCTATCTATCTATCTATCTATCTCAATCTATTCATAACCATCTCAGTATATTCATATCTGCCTATCTGTTTATCTACCTATATCAGTGTATTCATATCTATCTATCTATTCCATTCTTTTCATATCTATCTATTTATCTATCTATCTGTATGTCTTATCTATCTATCTATCTCAATCTATTCATATCCATCTCAGTATATTCATATCTGGCTATCTATCTGTCTATCTACCTATCCCAGTGTATTCATATCTATCTATCTATCTATCTATCTATCTATCTATCTATCTATCTATCTATTCTTTTCTTATCTATCTATCTATCTATCTCAATCTATTCATATCCATCTCAGTATATACATATCTGTCTATCTATCTGTCTATCTACCTATCTCAGTGTATTCATATCTATCTATCTATCTATCTATCTATTCCATTCTTTTCATATCTATCTATCTATCTATCTATCTATCTATCTCAATCTATTCATATCCATCTCAGTATATTCATATCTGTCTATCTGTCTATCTCAGTGTATTCATATCTATCTATCTATCTATTCCCTTCTTTTCATATCTATCTATCTATCTATCTATCTATCTATCTCAATCTATTCATAACCATCTCAGTATATTCATATCTGCCTATCTGTTTATCTGTCTATCTCAGTGTATTCATATCTATCTATCTATCTATTCCCTTCTTTTTATATCTATCTATCTATCTATCTATCTATCTCAATCTATTCATATCCATCTCAGTATATTCATATCTGCCTATCTGTTTATCTACCTATATCAGTGTATTCATATCTATCTATCTATTCCATTCTTTTCATATCTATCTATTTATCTATCTATCTGTATGTCTTATCTATCTATCTATCTCAATCTATTCATATCCATCTCAGTACATTCATATCTGTCTATCGATCTGTCTATCTACCTATCTCAGCGTATTCATATCTATCTATCTATCTATCTATCTATTCCATTCTTTTCATATCTATCTATCTATCTATCTATCTATCTATCTATCTCAATCTATTCATAACCATCTTAGTATGTTCATATCTGTCTATCTACCTATCTCAGTGTATTCATATCTATCTATCTATTCCATTCTTTTCATATCTATCTATCTATCTGCATGTTATCGATCTATCTATCAATCTATTCATATCCATCTCAGTATATTCATATCTGTCTATCTACCTGTCTATCTACCTATCCCAGTGTATTCATATCTATCTATCTATCTATTCCATTCTTTTCATATCTATCTATCTCAATCTATTCATCTCTGTATATTCATATCTGTCTATCTATCTACCTATCTAGTGTATTCATATCAATCTATCTATTCCATTCTTTTCATATCTATCTATATATCTATTTGTTTGTCTGTCTGTCTGTCTATTATAACGCTACTCTTATATGGCTATTGTCATAACAGACTCTTCCTTTATATAACGTACATCGTATAAGGATTCTCTATACATATTACTCTATAATACTCTAGTAGAACTGTTCCTCACCTCCACCCTGGACGCCAGTTGTGCGCTGAAGATCTCTCCTCTTGGCAATTCCGATCATGAGGTCGTGTCTATAAATTGTCTCCTTCCACTTTTCCCACCATCTACGAACTTCCTCGTAACATAATTTATTTCTTTTATCAATGCGCTGATTGGTACTCGTTTAGTGACTTCCTTCGTGATGTCCTCTAAAAGGTTATTTTTAATCATTCCATAGCCCACAGGAATGTCTTACTCTGGCTATACCAGAGCGACAGATCTGATTGTAACAGGCGACTAATTGTCCCTACTACTCGTAATGAGTGCAAGTGTGTATTCAAAAAAGCAAAGTCACTATTTACTGATAGAATAAGACACCGTATAGCCTCTCACAAGTCCCTCCCCATTTCAATCAATTTAAAGGACTGATAACTATTACAGTAGAGTGTCGTGTCATCTGGAGAACCTCTCCCAGGTTTTCGCCCTAAAATGGGGGCTTCATTGAATGTCATACTCATAAGCCTAGCACTGGTTTCTGTCATCATCTCAAAATTAGACCCCCACAAGACAAGCGGATGTGACAGAATCGCTGCCGTAGTCCTAAAGAAATTTGCTCTTCAGCTGGCTCCTGTTCTCGCCAAACTTTCAATAAAAGCATCGATGCTTCCTCATTTATATCTTGTTTGAAGTTCTTCGCTGTTTTACGAACACTGGGGAACCGTCTGACCCCTCAAATTAAAGTTATCTGTCAAGCTTTAAATAAGAATGGCAAATCTCAGGCTGTGTCGCTAGATATCTCGAGGTGTTTGGCATGCTAGCCTTCTACGCAAGCTCATGGGCTACAGTGTCACGTGACATATATTTAGTTTCATCCAATCGTTTCTAACCAATCGAGTGATTAAGGTCGTATTGAACGGGAACGCTCCCAGATCATCTCATACTAACGTGGGAGTCCCCCAGGGCTCTATTCTTTGACCTGCGCTGTTTCTGATCTTCATCAATGACATTACTGATGTCATCAGTACCCAATTAGGTATTTACGCAGAGGATACTACCATAAACTCCTGTCTTAGTAGCAAATCAAATAGCTCCGCAAAGTAAACCAAACTACTACTCTTGGAAAGTATCTCCAATCAGTTGTTAACTGGGGCAAGAAATGCCTTGTAAATTTCAATTTCTCCAAAACAAAACTGCTTCCATTTTAATCACCACAGAAAACCTTTTCTGCCTAAAATCAGGATGACTGATGCTGAGCTCCAGGAAAGCAATACTCTATGCCTTCTTGGCCTCACGTTTTCCACTGACATAAAGTTATTATATTGAATCAATTGCTACGTCTACTGCAAGGAAGGTTGATTCCCTGTGTTGTACCAAAACCCTTTTCTTGTCAGAATCCATCTTGTACATTTATAAATCTACAATTCGTCCATGTATTGAAAAATAAGTCTGGTATCTCTGACAAAACTAACCTGGCCGTTAGTCTCGAAAAAGACCTCCAATCGGTTGTGACTGGGGCAGAAATTGGCTGGTTAACTTTAATGCCTCTAAAACAAAACTGTTCTCTATTACTCACCACAGGGAACCATCCCTGCCTCCCATTAGAATGTCTGATGCTCAACTCCACGCCAGAACCTCTTTGCGACAGCTTCGTCTCACACTGTCCGCTGACCTGATATAGCTTCATCCACCGCAAGGAAAGTTGGTTCCCTGTGTCACGCCAAAAGGTTTTTTTCTCACCCGTGTCCAGCCTTCAAATTTATAAATCCACCATTCACCCTTGCATGGAATACTGCTGCCATATATGGTCTGGTGCCCCCGCTGTTCACCTTAACGTCCTTGACAAGATCCAGAGACGGGTATGCAAAGTGGATGGTCCTGATCTGGCATCTCGTCTTCAGTCGCTCACTCACAGACTTGCCGTCGCTTCCCTCTGTCTTTTCTACAAATACTTTCATGGTAACTGCTCCGACGAGCTGCTTTCGCTCGTTCCCAGACTGCAAGAATTTAAGCGTGCTACTAGGCTAGCATCACGATCCCACTCTTTCACTGTCGAAACGATTAAATGTAGCTGTCTCTTCTATTCCAATAGCTTCATGTCTCGCACCTCCCGCCTGTGGAATTCCCTTCCTATTACTTGTTTCCCTGATAGCTATAGTCTCCAACTATTTAAATGTAATGTCAATCGACATCTCCAGATATCTTGATCTATTCCTTGTCCTTCTCTTCATCCTTTCCTCCATCACGCCTCTTTACTCTCGCTCCCATTCTGTAACCCCTTGCGTACTAGTGGCATCCCGCCTTGCTTGAGGTGAAACGCTTAATATATATATATATATATATATATATATATATATATATATATATGTGTGTGTGTGTGTGTGTGTGTGTGTGTGTGTATGTATGTATGTATCAGTCACTTTTATGTTTATACGTTCTTTTTATAGATACAAATATTTAAGTAAATGCTCTGTTTTATAATAAACAGTATTAATAACATTTACCGGCCTGAATGTCCAAGAAATTTTTATAGAAAATATTCATCCTCTGACAGGAATCGAACCTGTATCGTATACGGAACCGTCATATAGCCTGACGTGCCTTAACCGATTGAGCCACAGTGGAGCGTTCAGTTAGCAAGGTCGATTTTACTGTTTTTAAACATAATTCTCAATGATTTTCTCTCATTAATTCATATCTGCTCAATGCGTATCCAAATGTAAACAAATGACGTCATACATTATGAAATGGACAAAGTCCGGCAATTATTTAAGACATTTTTTTATGTTTATTATAAACAGAGCATTTACTTAAATATTTGTATCTATAAAAAGAACGTATAAACATAAAAAAATGTCTCAAATAATTGTCAGACTTCGTACATTTCATATATATATATATATATATATATATAGAGAGAGAGAGAGAGAGAGAGAGAGAGAGAGACTGGGGCTCCTACTGGGCCTCTAGAGATGGGTTTACAATACATCAATCCAGACGAAGCATCTCGTCTGCAATCATTTTTTTCTCAGCCTATGACTAGGTTTCTCTCTATCTGTTCTACAAATATTTTCATGCTATCTGCACGGATGAGCATTTTTTTTTGCCCTGGTGCTCCGACTACAGGAATTTAGGCTTTCTACTGGATTGGAAATTAGGTCTCACCGTCTTACTACTGAACTAGCTAGATGCAACCGCCATTTCAACTCTAACAGTTTTTTTCTCGCACTTCCCACTTGTGGAAATCCCTCCCGATTTCTTGTTTCCCTCATAACTACAATGCTAAAAATGTTCAATGCATCAACAATCGCCATCGTCTGTCTTTTTAAGACCTGTTTCTTTCTTTTCTTTACTCAGTCCTCCGAATTTTCAATCTTCTCATTCTATTTCACCGCCTGTAAGCCCCTGCGTTCCAGTGCCATTAATGCCTTGCTTGGGGTGAAAAGATTAAAATATGTACTCTCTCTCTCTCTCTCTCTCTCTATATATATATATATATATATATATATATATATAAAAGTAACGAAAATCTTGGTAATCCGTATGGATAATCCCAAGGAAGATGAAATCCTGAGAGCTCAATGTTAATTCAGAAATAATAATTTAATTTAAAGAAAACCATATATATATATATATATATATATATATATATATATATATATATAATAAAAAGGCTTAAACACTAATATTCCATAATAATTTATTCCATTCGTACGATTCCAGTGGAATAAATTATGACCATGGAATATTAGTGTTTAAACACTATTATATCCTTACTCTGTCCTGGACATTGAGTTCTACCTGGATTCTTCCTCTTGGAATTTTATTCTAAAAATATACATGTATGGGTATTTATATATTTTGCATATGTATGTATATTTACCACTAATATTATATATATATATATATATATATATATATATATATATATATATATATATACACACAAGCACACATTTATGTATAATTATTTGAACGTTATTTTTAGTGTCGGTCTATATTTCTGACATGAGGTATTATGTACATTATTTATATTATTCGGACTATTGTCCTCATATTTGTCGCTATATTTATCCCAACGTTTCGGCTGTTGTACGCTCCGGCCTTCTTCAGGTGGTTGGAATGTCGAACTGAACCCTTTATTTCACTCACTGGAGTAGACTGTTCTACTTCCACTTGCCATGTTTCAATGGATGTCAGTTATCAGTTATCCCCTGTTAATTTCCCTCTCCAAGTTCTCTACTGCCTTAATCGGGTATTGAACTCTTTGGGTCCTGTGACTGGATCTAACGAACGCCTTTATCCAACGCCTTTATCCACTATGTCATGTGTCCTCAAGGTGCCGTTTCCCTTCAGGACGGAGGGGATCATGGCTCTCCACTTCCCCCTATCCCTTGTAGTTTTCAACATGTTTTGTCCTTTTGCTACTTCTCTCAAACCCTGTTCTGTCTTCACTTGCTTAAGCCCACTAAGTATGTCACACGTTTCTTTGCCTTGTTTCTCTTTCCTTCTATCCACCCTGTGAGTATCAGATTCTCCAAGCCTTCCTTTCTCATTACGTATCCCAGAGATTTCAGCTGCCTCTTCCTGATGTTAAGTATAAGCTTCTTCCTTGTTTGCATCCTCTCCAAAACCTCATCGTTGCTGACACGCTCAGCCCATGATATCGTTAGCATCCTTCAGTAGAACCATACCTCCGTTGCCTCGAGTCTCTTCTTCATCTTTGAGGAGACCGTCCAACATTCACTGACGTAAAGGAGGACAGATATCACGTAGCAGTTCAGGATTCTTTTCTTTGTTACTAAAGAAATCCTCCTGTCTTGTAATGTT